CAGAGAGTTGCAGAATGGGAGGACGGAACAATGAAATTGTTAGGAACCGATGGGAGGTGGACTGATCTTTCTCGGCAGTTCTGCCCGGCCTGATGGGAGGACAGGCGCCCAACGCAGTACCAGTTCAAGGACTGCATCATATCAGAAGGTCAGTTTTGAGGAGAGGGGAATTTGGCAAGCCACCTGTGTGCCACACTCTGGGCGGGGAGGCGGCGTTGGCAGGTATCGGAGTGTCGAAGGGGATGTTCTTGTGAATGTTCAACGAGTGCTTGCGGCACGCGCGGCGTCAGATGCAGATGCCACGGGGCCAGTCAAAGAGCACCACAATTTTGTCATGGAGCGCGTGCGCTATGACTTCAGGCTCGGTTGACAAGTTGTTAATCGTTTTGGATACCAGCTCGCAGGAATGGGATGTCATTGTGCTTCAGGAGGTGCCGTCGCTTGCCGAGGAAGCGCTGGTCGAGCTGGAGGGCGGACATCTCTTCTACACCGCTGCGGCGGTTAACTGCTCGAGGGGGGTCGCTATGGTTTTGCATTCGAAGTGGGCGCAGGCAGATTGCAAGCCGAAGTTCCCCAGCGGAGACTGGGAGACTTGCTGCATTTTCAGTTTGTATGCATGGCCAACCATGCTTTTTCATAACGGCGCATTGTCCGCATGGAGAGGATCCAGAACAGAATGCGTGGTTTTCCTGGTGCAGTTGGAGCAGCATGTCAACGCAGCCCAGACATCGCAAACCACTGTTTTTTACCGGTATGGATTCGAAAGCAGTGCTGGGTGAAAATATCGAACACGATGATCCGCGCTTCATTGGCAAATGGGGCCTGCGCGATAGAAGTCGCAGAGGAAATCTTTTCGCTGGGTGGGTCCAAACACAGAAGCTTGTTGCAACGAACACCCAGAAGCAGAAACGGTACGAATGGCAATGGACGCATCAACATTGGAGCACGGGTGTGCGATGGCAGATCGACTTCATCATGTGCACTTCCGCTTTGCTGCCAGCGCTGAGAGACATCTTCGTCAATTATTGCGTTGAATTTTGGATCGGATCATAGATGTGTCGTGGCCGAGTTAGCCTCCCTTGCCGCCCTTGCCCGTGGGAGCGGGTCGTCCGCCCGCACGCCCCCTAGAGCCGTATAACTCCCGGTCCATGCGAGCGGCCGCCTTCAGCTCCTTGTTTTGCTTCTAGGTCCTGGTGTTCGGGCGGCTCTCGATCATCGCCAGGATCTCCTCGACCTGATCCTCGGACACGTCCGTGTCGTCGATCTCAGCAAGGAGGGCCGTCTCGTCGTCGGGAACCGCTGACTGCGAGTCCTCGAGCTCTTCGTCGAAATACTCGCTCCCTTCCTCGACCTGGTCGAACCCCTTTGACCGAACCGACGGAGGGAACGAGTGAGACTGCAAAGCGCAGGGCTGCTCAGGAGGTCCGGGACCGAGGTCCTTAGTGGAGGAAACCAACACCGCCGGGCCCGATGTGCCGGGGAGGAGCCGTTCTGACCCGACAGCGTCCATCTGCCGAAGAGCCCAGGATACGCTCTCGTAGTCCAACTGACCGCGGGTCAACGTCTTCAGGTTCTGGTATCCCTGTGCGGAGAGGGCCGCCCCTTCCTCTAGGCTCATCCAGAGGTCATGCCCCTCCGCATCTGACAACTGTGCTTCTCGCCGGGCGACGGACTGCGTGAGACTCTCCTTGGACCCCTGATTCGCCTCATAGAAGGCTCGTCTACCTGCTCTCCTCAGCTCGTCGCCCTCCTTCTCTCCTGCCATCATGTCCATACCCGGGCGAAAAAAACTATGCACATGCACCGATCCTGACAACGTCCATCCTTGACCCAGGATCAGTGCATATACCTTCCTAGCCAAGGTAAGAGGGCGTATGCACCGATCCTGGGCTCAGGATGGGCCTGGCCAGAATCTGTGTATGTGCATAGTTTTCTCCCCTGTACATACGAGCGAGCAGAGTTCTCAACCAATCACTCGACGTCAGCACTTGGTCTGGAATATTATCGAACTTGGTTTGAAACGACCAGTCGAACAACTTCGAGAACCTCTCTGACCGTCTATGCATGGCTACGTCCGTGTTGGAGTTCCATCAGGGGATTGCTCGCTTCCACTGTCTGTAGAATGACCAGCCTGGCCACGCCAGGGGATCTGAGTAGTCTCCTTTTGACCACGATGCCGATGATGTCCAATCCCCCTGGTTCCAGCTCTTGCCAGACCAGACGCCGCCCTGCCAGTCGTTCTGCCAGTATCGATCTTGCTGCCACTGCTTCTTGTCCGGAGATCTGCTGTCCTGCCAAGGATCTGTCTTCTCCCATGGGTCGGAAGCGTCTGCGCCGTTAGGCTCTTTCCTCTGGGGCATAGTCTCCTGGACTATGCTTCGAATCGTGTCGCGCACGGCCTCCGGGCTCGTCACTGCTAGGGGACAGCTGGAGTTGACAGCTGTGGCAGCGGGAGGGGTCTCGCCCTCTGCGGTCCGTGTGGCCATCAAGGCCAACTCCTCTTCTCCGGGCATGCTCGTGCCGTGGACCACGCCGTCGCGCTCGTAGTCGAGGGCGAGGTCCGCCGCGGCGCGTGAGCGCCTCTGGAGCCGCAGCGGTCACGCCGCCAGCTCGGAGGCACCGCCGGCCATGCGGCGGGACCCCGCTCCGCTACCGACTGTGGCAGCGAAGCGATGACAGATGTTTACCTTGAGCCACAATGGGTTCCGAGATTCAACTGTCAACGTCCTCTGACCTGTTGTTCTTGAGAGTTGGCTCAAGATCCCCTCGGTGAAACACGAAACGCTAAACCTGTTCACCATAAGTGCTCAGCTCCCACATGGGTGTGCGACAGTCAGGAGTTGCTTAATTGGAAAAGGAGTGGATGAGCACAGTCGGGCCGCAGTACACGATCGAGGTCGGTTCGGGGAGGGTACCCTACTGTTCTTCGTGTTCGTTGGATGTCATGGTGCATGCTTGGGAGGGTACCCTTGGGTGTTCTGTTTGTTTTGGCTGGCGGGGGGTCTCATGTTCTTGAGGGATGTTCGTCTGGCTTAGGTCGTGTGTGACGAGGATACCTGGGAAGAAACTCCCCCCGGGCCTTTTCAGTTTCACAAGGTCGCCGCTTCCCCCCGTGGTCTCTCCGCGCCAGAGCGCCGTCGGCCGTCGCAGCCTCGCAGAGAGCTGCTCACCGGGAAGAGAAGCTGGTGCTGGAGGGAAGGGGTCCCGGCTGTATCGGTTTTCGTGTGTTTTTGGCCTATTATCCCGTTTTTTCGGGCCCAGGCTTTGCCAGAAAACGACTTGGGATGAAACAGTGGTCCTGGGGAAAGGCCCCGGGGTCCAGGCCCCGCTCGGGGTCCAGGCCCCGATTCCACCTGGACCCGGTTCCCTCTTGCGAAGGTCCCCAGGCTTCCGTCGGCTGGAAGAAGCACCACGAAGGCTCCTTTTCACGTTCGGCTTCTCCGCCCTGGGGCCGTCAGCAACGGCTCATGATGAAAGGCCGGCCCCAAGAAGTGGATCGGGACTTCTAGGGACCTGGTGTGGAAGATTCCGTGACGCTGGATGTCTTTGATCGGGTTGCCCAGGCTTGGCTTGGATATCGGTGCCGCGATTCGCGACGCGGGTCCGTCCCCAACCAAGAGACATTTTGTCCATCTTGGAAGACCATCCTTTCAGGTCGCATGCCCATATTTCTTCATGGGGGTACATCATGCTGCGGAGTCAGCGCTGATCACCTGCAGCTCCCCGCCTGCATTGCATTTGGGAACTTGTGTCTTTCTCCAAATTTCCGCAAGCCCGTCCACAGTTTCCCTTCAGTCGGCTGGATCGCTTGATGACTTGAATTCCAGATTGGCCATGCCAGAAGCATAGTGATGCCATCAGAGCAGAGGTCTTCTGCCTGATGCGTGCCGTTGATTCTACAGGCTTGCGCCACATCCGGCGGCCCCTTTGAATCGTTGTTTGCTTCAAGATTCAGTATGGGGCTGGGGGAGGCGCCACCGTGCCCGTGCTTGAAGACAGATGTGAGGCCTCTTGGGCACCATTTCGGGTCTTCTGTGGGTCTCATCAGGGCCTTCAGGGTGCCTGCTAACGGCCTCAGAGGTCCTTTTGCTGCGAAGAGTTCGAACAGTCAGTTCGCGTTCACCCGTTGGGGTCCTCTTGGGCTGTCCTGCAGGCGTGTCGGGCCGTTTTGGGATGCTCTTGCGCCGTCAAAGAATTTGTTTGAGTGCTTCCTGGGGTATCGCAGGGCAACCTCAATGGCCTCTTGGGCCGTATTGGACGCCGTGAACGCCCAAGAGGCGAATCTGCCATACATTCACACTCATACGTTTATATATATATGGTTCACAGGGAAAGGGCCGATTGTTGCGTCTTGGGACCCTTGGGGGTTGCGGTTCCCGATTGCGGTTGCGGTTCGGGGTTGTCATGGTTCGGTGTAGTGTCGTCCGTTCCAAGCTTTTTTGGGCAGGCTATGATGTCGCGTTTGGATCGTAGGTGGAGTGGAAGCGGGTTGGCCTCTGGCGCACGCGGGGGCCAGCCGCGTTGTCGGAGAGACGGTTGCCAATTGGCCTCAGGAGTTGACGCTCGCGGATTCCACTTCGCGCCTGCCCGAATCACCGACGCGCACCAAAGTGCCCGCGTGCCAGCGCGGCTTGTGATACGCGCAGTGACGTCCCCATCGGTAAGCGTCATCGCGTCCGCATCAGTTATGTGCAAATCCAGCTTGTCGCGCGCGAGCGCGCGCGCGCGTGCCATTGCGGCCGTAGAGACGCGCTAGCAAGTTCCAACCGGGAGCCGCAATCGTTTCCGAAAGGGTTTTGCCAAACCAGTCGCGGTTGCGTGGGTATGATGTTGGCACGAGCAGGGGGAGGTGACGACTCCAAGACGGTCGAGATTACTTGCACCCCATAGTTTGCGTCGCATCGATCACACCGCGTAGCTTGCACCCCATATACTGCACGACGTATTGCACTACACATCGGTTACCTAGATGTATCTGCGTATATATTTAGTACCGCATATGGTGCACCACGCAGCTTTCACCTAGTAGCTTGCACCACGTAGCTTGCTGGGTTGGTCGAGTATTCTCCTGCTCCCCCGTTTGCTTCCGCCACTGGTTCAAGCTGGGTAGCGGGGCGTTTCTTCCGCCAAGCAGGGCACCGACTTGTACGGGGCGGACCTGGTCGCGGTATTGGGTACCTTCATGCAGGAGCTTCTTTTGGGATGAAGGCGATGCTGCTGCTGATGATGATGGTGATGATGGTGATGATGCTGACTATGGTGATGACGCTGGTGTTGATGATGATGAGGAGGAGGAGGAGAAGGAGGAGGAGGAAGAGGAGTGTGAGGACAATTGATGTTGCAACGCATCCTCGCCTCTCGCCCCAGGTCCATCCACGCCCTCGCCACATACGTCAGTAGCGCACAGCTTCATGTGAAAGGGCATGCTTGCCAACCATTTCCTATCACTGCGGCGAGCACCCGCTTGAAAAGGTGAAGGTCCCATGGACTTGCGCGGCGACAGCTCGATGTGATTTGAAATGGCCATTCAGCAGTCAACGTTGCAACTCACAATGACTTGCAGAAGGGGTTCCGCCTCGATCCATGTAGCTCGTAGAACTTCACGCGAAGTGTGCGGGTGGCACGACAGACGCAGCTTTCCATGAATAACCAGAAACCCAAGGAAGCCTCACGCGAGAATTCGACATTGAAAAACTACTTCCTACAGTCCGTGGGTATGTTCGAACCTTTTACTTTACCTCCAGGAGCACAAAGGTACACCGAAGCAGCGGACGGTTGAATATCCACCGCCCCGCATTTGGGGATGATGTGTTGAATATAAAGTGTCAGCCAAGAGTCATCCTTTAGGAAGTAACAGTTTTAATCGGAGGTGTCAGTCGAAAATCTGATGCCGAAGCTATCTGGGAACTTCTGGGATACCCAAGTGCGGAGCACAATCGGAAGCCACACGTTGCATGCCACAATGGAAGGTTTGAGGTGGGCGTGCGCTGCGCCGTGGCAAGGGGCCATACCCTGTAGCCAACCGCGCTGTTAGAAGCATTTGAGATGAACGCTCGCGGTGCCCTGGAGGCCAGCAGCACCCTCCTCGGGCACGACATTTTTCCCCAAACAACCAAACCCTTGATTTTCCTCCTCCTCCTCCTCCTCCTCCCCCTCATCCTCCTCTTGGTATCCTGCTCCCTCGCCCTCCTCCCCCTCCACTTCCACTCCGCTTCCGTATACATAACTTTTCCCTGCCGCACCCCGAGGCAAGTTGTTCGGGCGGGCCAGGCATTTCTCCTGATACCCCCTCACCATCTATGATTCTGAAGCTTAAACATTCGCAGCATTTCCACAGATGGTTGGCGGGTCGTTTTCAAAATGTGGCTCTCGCCTTAGCGCCGTGCACATGTTCCCCCCCCCCAGGAATTTGCAATAGCTTCACGGTTTGAGGGCGACCCATTTTCAAATTTTGGTTCTCGCCTTAGCGCCGCGCGCATTCGTTCAAACACCCGCAAGAGTTTCACGAATTGAGGGCGCTTCTGTTTCAAAATGTGGCTTTCGCTTGAGCGCCGCGCACACTCGGTTAGAACAGCTGTAAACTATTCACGGATTGAGGGCGGTCCCCTTTTTTTTCATATCGTTTATAAAACATTTCGAGAGGTTCACGGATTCCCATGATCAACGTACCAGAGGTGGTGTTTGGAAAAGATTGAGGACTATGCGGGTGCAGCAGTTCTGTTGATTCGCGGTGTCGAAGTCTCACAACTGGCTTTTTGGCACGATTCAGGATCTACAAGGTGCAACAGTCAGGTTGATCCGTGGCGTTGGAATCCCGAGTCAGGGTATTCAAATGGTTGTCTTCCAACGAGGCAAGTCCTTTAGAAGAGGGAGCTTGGATGGAGGGTTTATTCCAACATCGTCGATGAGTCTTGGGTTTATACTGGTCCACCTTCTCGTTCTCGAGGTCTGCGGTTACATCACCTCCCTCTCCCACCCGTGGTGGGCATCCTCAGGTTGAGCGTCCTTCCCTGAGGTGGGCGTCCCTAGGTGGGCAGCATGAACAGAGAGGTTTAACATGCGACGACGTTCATGCGCAAGCTGCCCTGACAAGGGCGCGTGTGAGTGCCCTCCCTTTCAGCGCGGTGCGCCGCCCTGGCGGCCCGCGCACCCCCCCCGCATGAGGTCGATGTGCCGTCGTGCATGAGACGCCCTGCTTTCTGGCCGCTCCGGTGGGTGTCCCCACCTCGGGGCCCGAAGATTGCGCAGGTCAGGTTGTGCCGGAAGGTGGTGTGGGTCAGGGGAGACAGATATACCAACACCGCTACCCTTCCCTCGCCGCCACGGCTGGATTCGCTTCGACTGGGGCCCTGGTGGCTGTTTCGGAGGGGGCCCTCCTGGCACCCCGACTGTCGCCCCCGCGTCTCTCGCGCCCACGCCCGTGCCCGTGTCGGGCGCCCTCCTCCTCGGCCCCGACGCCGCCCCTGCAAGGAGCACGTGGATCCCGCGGTCGTGACGAAGGCCTTGGGGCTCTGCAAGCCCCCCGCGTCACCTACGCGCGGAAGGGGGTAGGGGGAGGGTGGAAGGCTGCTTAGAAACACCCTTGCTTCTTAGAAGACGCGGGCCTCAAGAGTAGATGTAAGGCCCGCGCCTTTTAAGAAGCAGCCTCCTTCTAAGAAGCCTTCCCCGCTCCCCCTACCCCCTTGTGCGCGCCACCAGACGCGTCTCCGCGCGCGCGGTGGGGGCCAACAAAGGGGGGGGGATGGCCGATGGTGTGTGTTGACATCCTGTTTGGGGCTACTAATTTGGTCTCCCTGGATTGCTCTTAGGCCTTGCGGCCGGTGCCGCCGACCCTCAACGACCACCCCGCGATGGAAGCGGCATTCGGGAAGGTCGGGATCAGATGCTCCTCGGAGTGCCCAACAGGCTCCACGAGGCCCCGAAGAGGTGCCCAAGCGGCGGCGGCGGCGACGGCGACGACGACTCAAACGAAACAGCGTCTCGAACACGTCGACAGGGTTAGTCGGATTTCGCTCGGCACCCTCTTTCGACACACCCTCTGGCCCCCCTACCCGCCCGCGTATGCGTGTGCCTCGGGCCTCGGGCCACGATGAACTGTATCCCCCCTCTTGGACGCACCCAGTCTTGGGCGTCCTCGAGCTCGCAGGCTCCCCCTCCCCAAGGGGGGGAGGAGGAGGAGGAGGAGGAGGAGGAGGAGGAGGAGGAGGAGGAGGAGGAGAAGGAGGAGGAGGAGGAGGAGGAGAAGGAGAGGAGGAGGAGGAGGAGGAGGAGAGGAGGAGGAGGAGGAGGAGGTGGAGGAGGAGGAGGAGGTGGAGGAGGAGGATGGTGTTGATGATGATGATGATGATGATGATGATGATGATGATGATGATGATGGTGATGCTGATGATGGTGATGATGATGGTGATGATGCTGATGACGATGATGATGATGATGCCGATGCTAATGCTGATGCTGATGCCGATGCTGCTGCTGATGCTACTGCTGCTGCTGATGATGATGCTGGTGGTGGTGGTGTTGATGATGATGATGCTGATTATGCTGATGTTGATGCTGCTGCTGATGCTGCTGCTGATGATTATGATTCTGCTGATGTTGATGCTGATGCTGCTGCTGCTGCTGATGATGATGATGATGATGATTATACTGATGTTAATGCTGATGCTGCTGCTGATGCTGCTGCTGATGATGACGATGATAATGATGATGATGATGATGATGCTGATGCTGATGATAATGATGATGATGATGATGATGATGATGATGCTGATGATGATGCTGATGATGATGATGATGCTGATGATGATTATGTTGAGGTTGTTGCTGATGCTGCTGCTGATGCTGCTGCTGGTGATGATGATGATGATGGTGGTGGTGGTGATGATGATGGTGATTCTTATTATGGTGATGATGCTGATGATGATGATGATTATGCTGAGGTTGTTGCTGATGCTACTGCTGATGCTGCTGCTGCCGATGATGATGGTGGTGGTGGTGGTGATGATGATGGTGATTATGATGATGATGATGATGATGATGATGATGATGATGATGATGATGATGATGATGATGATGGTGGTGGTGGTGGTGGTGGTGGTGATAATAATGATGACGATGACGATGACGATGACGATGACGATGACGATGACGATGACGGAGTGGGCGGTTGCGCGGCCTCGCGGCTCCCTGCCTGCCCGCGCGATCGCGCCACGAGCGTCCCTTTGCCCCGCCGCCGTCCGACGCCCGGGCTTCTCGCCTCGGTCCGCCTCTGTGTGTTATACCCCCCCGCAAGCCCGAGGTGTCGGACCGAGGTATATAGTCGAGACTGACTAGTAGGTCGAACCTGCCAAAGCAGGGGTACCATCGTGTCCTGAGCTTCGCGACCCATGCCTTCTCACATTCCTATGGCAATGTGGCCCTCCGAGGGGTCTTGTGCCCTCATCGCGTGTCCTCCAGCCTCTCGCAGAGTAGTGCTGGATCCCCCTGTCGCCGTTCGCCCGTCTCGCACCCGGATTCCAGCGCTGTAGTTCATAACTTGCTCGTGCTTCGCTTACCATTTCTTGACGCTTCGCGTATCACCGGCCCATCCAGAAACGATGCCCATTAGAGTTGACGGGGGAGAGAGTAAGAGACAAGCATAGTCAAACAGCGAGGGAGGCCGGCTTGGACGGCGTGTTTGGGCCATCTCCGGGCCCGCGTGGGGGGGGGCGAAGGAGGAGGAGGAGAAGGAGGAGGAGGAAGAGGAGGAGGAGGATGAGAAGGAGGAGGAGGAAGAGGAGAAGGAGGGAGGAGGCATGAGGAGCAAGACGAGGACAAGGAGGATGAGGATGAGGACAAGGACTGAGAGAGTGAGGATGAGGAGGAAGGGGATGGGGAGGATGAGGAGGAGGAGGAGGACTAAGAGGAGGAGGAGAAGGAGGACGAGGACGAAGGGGAGGATGAGAACGAGGAGGAGGAAGAGGAGGAGGAGGAGGAGGAGGAGGAGGAGGAGGAGGAGGAGGTCAGGAGTTCAGGAGCCTTAGGGTGCCGTCTTACTGGCAAACAGCGCCTCAGGGGGACCTCGGATGAGGTTAACAGCGCACCCCGTTTCGGTCAACGCCTCCACGACCTGCGCCTTAGGAACACTGCCAGCCCCACCAGCGGCAACGCACGCCAGGCCAGCCCAGCCTCGCGCGCCGCCACGCGCCGCCGCAGCACCTCCAGCCGCTCCCGCCAGGACGGCGTTGGCGCCGCGCAAACGCTGCGGCGCGCCACGACCTCCGCAAGCAGGCGGCTGGCCTCCGTGCGCCCGCCTCTCGGCAGCGCAGGAGCCCCGCGTGACGCGATCCCTTGCACTTCCGCCAGCAGGGCCTCCTCCGTGCGTCCGCCTCGCAGCGCTGCGGGAGCCCCGCGTGTCGCGGTCTCCTGCACATCAGCCATTTGGGCCTCCCCCGTGCGCCCGCCACACGGCGTTGCGGGAGACCCGCGTGTCGCGGTCCCCTGCACGTCCGCCAGCGGGGCATCCACAGAGCCTTGGGCCGAGACCGCCTCGTCGGTACCTTCCTCGGGGCTGTCGTCGACCGAACTGTGCTCGTCGTGCACCAGCGTGTCCGTGGCCCATAACCTGCCCGTCTTGGGGTCCAGACCACGCAGCAACCTGTCCCTCCTGGCCACCAGGTTGCTGGCGTAGGTGCGCTGGTGGTGCCCTTTGTCGGTGGGCGGCCCGCAGCACGCCTTCTGGCCGCTCGGGTCTGCATCCACGCGGCGCAGACCTCGCAGAAGATGGGCCCCGCGCGCCGCGGCCGATGCCCCAGGTGCAGCGCCACGCCACGGCCGCCACCCTGGTGGAACCAAGGGCTCGGCCTCTGCGCCAGCTTGCACGGCCTGCCACCGTCGTACGGCTGCAGCGCCTCGACCTCCAGGCCTTCAGCGTCGCCCATCCAGCATGGCCCCGCGCCGAAATGCGCCGCTTCCGCCGCCGCCTTGAGGCGTGCCAGCGGCGTCGGCAAACAGCTCGACCTGACGAACTGCTGCGCCGCCGCACTGCGCCGCCGCACCTGCCTCAGTGCGGGGCCGGCGCCCGCAATCGGTGCGCAACATCCCGCGCTTGCCCTGCGCGCGCACCAGAGAGTGCTCCACCGTCGTCAGCTTCGGCGCGGGCGGCGGCGGCGCCGCGGGCACGTGGCGCGCCTCGGGGGCCCAGTCCCCGATTGCCAGGCAGCGCTGCGTGGCCCATCCGGCGTAGTCCGCCACCTGCTTGAAGTACTGCACCTCGATGGCGTAGAACTCCGTGTGCACATGGGACACCGCGTGCTGCAAGGCCCCCTGCTTGGCGAACCAGTCCGCCCACAGGTTGCCCGCGTACAGCACTGGGTGCAGCCCCGCCGCCAGGTGCCCGTCGACGTCTTGGTGCGCGGGGACCCAGAACACCTCGGGTCGGCATGGCTGCTGCCGCAGGTGTTTCCACACAGTGGCGTGCACCGCCTTGGCTCGCTCCAGTTCTGGCCCCCAGCTGCTAGCCTCCTGGGCCAACAACCAGCAGGTCGGTGGCCGCGAATCGCGCCTGCTCACGACCCACCGTCTGCAGGCGGCGAGGAAGGGCCCCGCAGGCCGCGCGAACGGGCACCCCGTTGGGGCCGAGCTGGACCAGCGCCCGCCCGCAGCGCCTCAGCTCGGGCATGCTGCTCGCAAAGCCCGAGCCATCGGTGAACGCAATGTTCCCGCGCTGCTCGTCGCTCGTGCCGCTCCAGTCACCCCAGAGCCTGACGTCCGCCTCGTCGGCCGCAGGCGGCACGCGCGGCGGCGTCGCGGGGAGCCCGACCTCGTGCGCGAACCCGCTGAAGTCCGCGACCCCCACGCCGCTTGCATGCAGGCCTTTGTCACGCAAGGTGACCCATGTTTGCTGCAGTCGATCGGGGAGGACGTCCTGCTCTACCGACGACCTATTCGCAACAAAACGTGCCGTGCCAAGCTCGCTGCCACCAGGGTGGCCAGACTGGCGCGCGCGCAGCAGGGCCTCGCAGTCGCACAGCCTGTGGCCAGGGGCGTCCTCCTCCGCTCCGCACGCCAGACAGCTGCCGTCGGGGGCGACCCCAACGTCTAGCTGCCCCTGCCTGGTCCACGGCGTGCCAGCCCAGTGGATCCTGAGGCTGGTGGCAGCATTCCCTTTCGGCAACAGTGGCGCCCTTGCCACCCGCGCACGGCCTCAGGGCCCGCGTCCAGATCCGCCCCGTGGGCTGCGCGCCGCCGAAGTGGCTCAGGATCTGCATCCCTTGCCAGCGGCTGACCCCCTAGACGAGGTGAGCCTTGAGGTCCGACGGCGAGGTGGCGAGCAGATTGATGTGCTGCTTCTCGTCAGTGACCAGCACCAGACTGGACCACGTGTACCAGCCAATCCTCCAGAGCGCGAGCGTCGTCGAGGCGATCGGGCCGCGCGCCAGCCCCCGCGCCGGCTTCTCGACCAGCCGCTGCGTGATGGAGGCCCGCGCACGCTGAAGCCTGCCCAACGATGTCCTCTGCTC